AAAAAAAAAAGAAAAAAATAAAGGCGATTTTCATGGATACTGAATACAAACTGATCGTATCCCTCATATATTGATTCCTTTCGTGAATGGATAAATTTTGCCATTATTTGTGAGTGTTTTTACTTTTTAATGCATAGTATTTTGACTCAGACCGGAACGGGTCGACCGGGGTCCCGGAACCGTCGGGTAAACTATTTGAACTGGACAACAAAAGACCCAATCAAACCCAACCAACCCGGCCTTCACCCGGCCCATATATATTTTTTTATTATTTTAAAATTTTTATGTTTTTAAAAATAAAACTATGTATATATGTTTATATAGTAAATATTTATCATGAGATACATATTATTAACACTTTAATGTACAAGTTTTATACATAAAACATTTAATTTTGTTACTTTTATGTATATTTATATGACAAACATATTTTATATATAATTTTAAAAATTTTAAAATTAATTATCCGGTTCAGCAATTGAACCGGTGACTCGATTGTTGAACCGATGACCTGGTGACCCAGAGATCTACCCGAGTCAATTATCAGGCCAGGTTTAAAAACTATGATTTTAATGACACAAATATTATTTTATTTTGTGTGTCTTTTATTTTATTTTTGGGAAAAAAACTTTTTCCCATCTGAACTTTCGCGAAAATGGCGCATCACCATATGAACTTTATTTTTTTGCAAACCACCCTCTAAACTACACGGGTTTGTCAAAATACCCCCCACACCACCTTTAAGTCCGGTTTCACCTGTTAGGATCCGGTTTTAAACACAATATAAATAGCCACAGCCGGTCATTTGCTGGAGCAATTTTCCCCAAATTCATCCAATTTTCCCCTCTTTCGTCTAGGGTTTCTCATCTCCGAACAATATAATGTTCCGGCAAATTTCCGAGGAGCTAATCGATGACTTCTGCCGGTGTGGGAAGCCTACTGTGCGAAAGACTTCATGGGCCGATGGTAATGCGGGGCGGAGGTACTCGGCCTGTGAGAAATACCGGGTGAGTGCCTTCATTTTTTCTCTTTGATTTCTATTTGCTAGTTTAATTCAATTGCAAGTTAATTCTTCTCCCCAAAATCCTCCGCACATTCCCGTCAGATCCAGTTCTTCCTCCTCAATCCTTCAGGTCGCCTTCCTCGACGGTGAAGTAGCATCAGCTAGGGGTCGTCCTCGACCGCCTTCCCCACCCCTTGACGCGTCGCGACTTCGGAGCC